GGCTATAAAAACATGCCATTTAATGCCCTCCATAACCCCCTCCCCCAAACTGTGGCCCTCGCTCATCTTCTGGCCATTAAGCCAATTCATCACCTCCTCAGAGGCCGTGACACAGATCCAGTCTATCAGTCACTCTCTTCAGGATGTGCTGGTTTTGCAGATGATCAAGGATCACTGTGGTATTAACCACGGAAGGGAAAACGGAGGCCGTCGAAATGATGACACTATAGAGCTGCTCCCAGTAAAACACTCGGTTATTGAAAGAGTGGGTTTGAAAAGCCAGAATAATCAGGCTGGAAATTAAAATATGAAAACAATGATGAAGCAGTAATGTAAGCTTTGGTTTGCCACTTGAGGCCAGTTGTTTGATATGTCACATTTCTAATGACTTCCTCCGCAGAGGACCCTGAATTTGCATTTTAGGTCCCTGCTCCTGTAATGAAAAAAGGTAGAGCGGAGCATATTTCACTGGGCCTGTCAAAGCCACTAACGCCCCTCTGCAAAGCACTCAGGAACTTCATTCCATCGCCGCCCGTTTTCACCACCAGGATTTGAAATTGACTATGACAAAATTAGCAAACCTCGACTGTTTGGACACATTGCCAATAGAGAGTGTTTCGCTGCCCTTTTTTTTTTCTTCCTCCTTTAGAATGCAATCAAGTCAGAGAACATCAAACATGAAGTCTCCTTGAAAGTTGCTCAGTCTCTTTGGCACGACTGCAGCTATGGATTTATGTAATGGCATGCTTGTTAGGGAGATTTCCTGGGCCTATTGACAGTGACGTGTGCTGGGGTTTGGCAGAGGTGACATCTGGGAGGCACAGCTCTGCTGCACCACCATGCAAAAGCAATTAGAGATCTATATTCCCAGACAGGTCCTCACTGTGCTCAATGGTGGACAGATACATGTGGCCTAATGTCTTTATTAACATGACAAGCATGTCCCACACATCGCCTTCGAATGACAATCAAAGGGTCATCGTGGAAAAAAAAACGGGGGCAGTAATCAGCAAAATCATGGCTGTGCGGCCAGGACTGTGCTGACAAGTGAGAACATCAAAATGCATTTTCCAAGTGAACTGGTCCAGGAATAAAAAGAAAATGTCAAAGAAGATGTAGTTCAGAGCAGAGAGGATTTTTTTTTTTTTAACATGCAGGAAGTATCTGACCTGACACCAGTTGGTTAGAGCTACAGCTACTGTTCAGTACGAGAGCATGGACGGATCATTAGAAATGGTTCAGTTTCTTCATTAAATGAATTTCCCCGCCTAAAGTAATTAACTCACTCTATTAATTAATATAATCAGCCATTATCTTGTTGGCCTTCATTCTAACGTGTGATACGGATTTAACGAGCCTGAAGCTGAAATGTTGTCTGTGAACATGGTACGATTATGAACGTTAATCTACTGGTGAAACGTTCATTATCTTAATGTTGTTGCATTGTTGTGTTTCTTAGAAACTGAAAAAAGAGATAAACAGATTTATTTTTATTTACTACGTCCAGGAGAAACATGTGCATCAGTATGACTGCTAGTCTTGTCCTTTGATAAATAAAAAACCAAAAATAGTTTAATTTGGTTCGAACACAGTTCCAGCACTGACCTTTACACAGCTGTGGAGTAAAGGAGTGGAACACATGACCAAAATGGAGATAACAGGCAATTATCCTGGCCAGTGGGTAATAAAATCTGCCACAACATTTCACGTCCTTTCAGACTGAGTTTACGAGACCAAACATGTTCACAGAACCAGGGTTTTTCCCGGGGACGTTGTGCATCAGGCCTGCCTCTGAAACAGGTACGTGGTCTGAGGAGACGTCTGAGGCGCTGGTGTGCGGTAAACAAGGCGGTCCTGCTCCCCAGCTGTGAAGGTGACACAGCGACGCTACACACAGAACAAGCCCTTTTGATTAATCACAAGATATTTACTGGCTCAGATCTAATCAAGGACCGCAGGATCACGGGCTACATCATACACGGCCCAGGAATTTACACAGCAGAGTTAACCTGTCACCTGCCACCGTCCTCCTCCTTACATCTATAAACACAGTGTGCAGTTTGGCCAGCAGTTACGCAGCGCGGGCAGGCACCCCTGAAACAGCTCCAGAGGTGATTGTTTTATTTCCGCTGAAACATTATAACCCGCAGTCAGATACTAAACACATGTCGTTTGATATAAAACCTTATGGCAGAGGGGAGAAAGAGCCATTTATCTCAAGGTGGTCGTGGTAATGGGATACAAGAACGTGAGCAGTTTTCGCTCTCGGTAAACTAGAGCGCTGTGTGCAGTGGCCTGTTCTGCCCGCCTGTAGCAGCGGAACAGTTTCTCCCTGAGGAGAAGACGTGGAACGTAGTCAAAGATGAATAGATGAGGCAAGTATAAGGGTTAAGGAGAAGTTTTTATAAGTTAATCAGTACTTGATGATTGATACGAGAGGGCGGCTTGAATGATTATTATTATTATGTATAAATATATGTATGTGTATGTACATATACAAATATAAATAGATGCACCAAATGTGTACATATGTACATATATTTATTTTTAAATATATAGCTTTTAAAAAAATTTAATTATGTAAAAAGAAGGCATTGTAATCAATAGTATCAAAAATCTAGTTAATTAATTTAATTACCAAATGAACTAAATACATTTGCTGTGGATAATGTTTTTAAAATATCTGTTGCAATTTTACATTTGAACAGAAGCGCAAATTACTGTGAACTGGAAAAGGCCTTAACCTTTACAAGGTCTTTTGTTGTTACAACTCCAACACCACAGACCGGGGCTGCAGCTCTGCAACATTTAGAAGAGTGTCGGTACAAAGTGAAGTCTGCACTGTTGTGTAGCCTGGAAAATGTCACTCCACGGGGGGGATGTCCGCTGTTCACAGAGGTTCAGAGGAAAACAAAGGTACAACCAGAAGCGATTACGTCTTCTGAGTACACTGTGTTGTTTGTGCTCAACAGCTGCTGTTCTTTAACCTGCAGGACTTCTGTGAGAGTGAAAATAAAACACACACAACTAGATACGGAGGCAGAGTTCCCCGTTTGTCTGTCAGCCTTTCGTCAGAATTCCACCCTCCCTGATTTTTGCTCAGTGTGACGAGTCACATTAGGCAGTTGGAGGGAAGAGTCGTTTCTGTGTCACATCCCTTTAGCCCCACCTCACTGACAGTCAACAAGACGACGACGTTCTCACTAAAAATTAATCACGTTTGCCATTTTAATGGCATCCTTCAAACCCCTGCCAAGAATACACAATCATCTTCGTCCTCATCTTCTGTTGTGTTTCCCCGGCAGCCAGGGAATCACAAAGTGATTTCAAGGAGTGTATCAATACTTACATCACCCCTCTGGCCTTCTATCTACAATGTTGACTCTACAGCAGCACTCAGAGCCCAGCTGGCAGAAGGCCATTGATTTTATGGAAATCAGGCAGACAGAAGTATACAGCGCTGGATTTAAAGCTTTTTAATTATGATGTTGTGAGATAATTGTGCATTTAGGATGTCAGTGTCCAAACTTTTCAAGGTCAACCAAATTTAATAAGGCAAGAAATACTGGAGGAACTGCTCTCATTGTGTAGCCTTCAATTTAACAAGTGTATAAAAGCACTGGATTTTAATTTAATCAAAGGCAAGGTTTTTGGAATGTTTAACGTAAAGTCAGAAAACAAAGGATGAACTCAGATGGGAAACAGAATGTTATGCAAGACATGGCAGCAGAGAACAAGAAGGTACAGAAAATATAGCTAACAGTTAGCCAATGCTACAACATTTAATAAAACTGCCTGGAAAAAGATTCTATAGCTCCTTAAAAATATCACAAATTGCAAAATTCTTTAAGAAATAACTTCGCCCCTCATTGTCTGATAAGGCTAGTACTACTGTAGCTCTAGACTAGCTCTGTTGACAGAAGAAACCAAAGCATTGTTCTAAGTCCACTGGTCCCTGGCTTGTTCTGTAAAAATGGTCAGTTTCATATTCTTTAAACGAGCCATAACAACCATAACGTCACAGCTTTTATTTTTTTAAAGACCACCAGGTCACATGGTTTATCTGTAAACAAGGCCTCACTGAAGCCATGTTTGTCAGTGAAACCAGACTTTTGTTCTACCATCAAATATTCAGACAGACACAGTTGGTCCTTTTGAGAAGGAAACCCTGTAAAGTGACTGAGAAACAAATCACTTCTGGTTAAAACAGTGTTCTTAAGTCATTCTGTCATATCTCTCCCTTTTTTACAGACTTCATCACTAAGCCGCTGTGGCGTAAATGCCTTCAAACACTTTGACATAACATGCCGTGTCCTGAGACCTTTTGCTTCTGAATAATGGATCTGCAGTATGTCCCAAACAGCTGTCTTCTTGAAGAAAGTTTTTTAAAGGCTTTCAGCCACATCACTGTGACGCTTGTGAAACAATCTGCATAATATGTGATAATGCACCTGGCACTTCAAGGTAACGACCGACCATCCAGACACCTCAAATTCACAAAGCACTGTGATTGGCCAAGACGTGAGAGAAAAAGTCGGGACCATCCACCACTGCTGTTGCCCACGCTCTTCATATTTAATTCAGAGGTTGTGTATTTCTTTATGATTGCAACATCTGTTTACTCCCAGTGCCAGCTCCCTCTGTCAGCCACCCTCTGTTCAATAATTCCTGTCTTGACCCCCCAGAGCCCTGGACATCACAGCACCGGCTGCTTCCCAAACTTCACCGGGAACAGACACAAAGGGACAGGTGCCGACGAACAACTAATCTGGCTTAAAAACCCGCGCCACCAGTGTAGGTTTGACAGAGGTTGATTTTTCGGAGCAGATGATTGAAAGGACCCTCGAATACTACAGTTTGTTACCAATGTTTAGCCATGCAATACCTGCTAATTGTTTTATAATTAAAGGAAGGCTTTCAATTAAAGATGTAGCAAACATGACTCCCTATCCCGTTATAGGCAGTGTGTACTGGAACAAGTCAACTTCAAACAAATACAACAAATGGATACATGTGGGTATTAAAACAACTGGTACCTAGCTAATGATAGGCTAAATAAATGTAAACCGTCGTATTTGGAGTTTTATCTAAATGTCATACTGGTACCATCTTCATTAAACTGATGCAAGAACAAGTAAACTACTGGCTGAGCAAACGGGTTTCTTGACAATTTTATGTAGGCATTAATAAACATGTGGCAGACCGGTAAGTGTTAACGGCAGCAGCACGGTGCTTTTGGAACCGATTCAAAACTCAAGTGACCATCAATAGATTATTAACATTATTATACATAGACATTAGACACAGCAGGTCAACTACATCAGACTCATGGCCTGTCAACATTTATGTCTGCTCAAAACAACCGCTCTGCTTTCCCAGTGTTGTCAGGGACACTGAAGGTGGCAGGGTCTATAAACAGATGCTTCCCACTGACCTTTGAAAACATGGTGTAGGAGCCAGATGTTCCGATGACCTCACAACCTTGGGAGCAGCTGATGTGGCGATGATGGAGATGGGCGCTGGCAGAAGAAAGTGATCTATTGGCATCAAAGTTCCACTTTTTCTGAGTCACTCTTCACACCCTGACCTGGGCAGTCCTGGAAGGCAGAGAGGAATGGATGAAAACATATATGAAAACACAGAAGGGAAACCAAAACAGAGGAAAAGAGTGCGGGGGGCAGGGTGGGGGGGTAGTGGTCAGTGGGGCCGAGGGTTGTCACAGATGTTGACTTCAGCAGAAAACTCTGCCAGAAGCCATCATGTCACGGCTAAGTTAGACCAACAAACAAGAACAACTCCGGGCTCTGCCACGTTAGATCTCAGTCAAATTCAACAGCTGTTTCTTGAACGAGCGCAGATGCAAATATAATGATAATAATGCCTACTTACAGCAACAATCCATCCCAACATCATGTAAACAACGTCAAAGCACATTAGGGATTTACTTTGCATGTGAGTACATGACGGGGCAAAATCCAAAAGGTTATTCCACAACAAATTATATTTATTATATTATTGCAAATATTTATTATTTTTTCAACAATTAGTAAGGTGAGATGTGCAAAACAGAGAAGAATTTTAATTATATGCATGGAAGTAGATGGTTTAAATAAAACTTCAAATTAAAGGAGAGAGTGGCCCAAGAATGCTGCTATCTTTATGATTAGACTTAAAGAACTACCACTAGCATAAAGCAACTATGGTTGAGATATGTTCTAACTGTTGTAACTATATGAATTACAGTTCAAAAACAAGAAAATATTTGTAAAAATAATTATGAAACTGTGCTGCAAAACAAGAAAATATTTGTAAAAATAATGATGAAACTGTGCTGCTGCTTCAACATCATTTCACCTCAGATCATGGCTGTGCCTGTCTCTTCTGGCATCTGAAATTCTTAACATTTTGACTCACTACATCTTGGCTCCAAGCATCTTCACTCAGTTCAGCAAAATGTCTTTGTGCCAAGGCCACAGCCTGTGGCAGTTTTTCTAGTGACAGATGAGAGAACGTGTCAACATGCACTGTGTGTGTGTGTGTGTGTGTTGGTTTGGGGGGTGATGGGGCAATGTCTACAATGGCTGTGGATATATTATTTGTTTAACAATAGTTCAAAAAAATTGCCAAAAGGTCTAGGAAACCATAAAGAACTCCAAACAATCAAATATCTCCCCAGGTTTAAACATCTGTCTCAGTAACAACCAATGTTTAAACCTCTATCAAACGGTGCTTCCTGAAGATGTGACATTTAAACCAAACACTCACTTCATCCTCCTTCAACCTACAAAGATTCACCTCAAAAGCAGTCGAAGCAGAGAAGATTACGCTGAGATTCAGCAAACTGGAAGTGTGACATGTAAATCTAAATCCGTCCGCCCTGACTCCAGGCCTGTTGGCAAAGGGCAGCTCAGCTGTAGCAGGGAAATTGTGTGAACAGCCGACTCTGAACATCTCTCCACAGGCCATACCAAGGTGTCTAATCCAGGAAACACTGTGAACACACACCCCCTGGGCTCCCACAGTGCACTGCACAGCCCGCAACCGAGTGAACACTGCGGCAAATCCTCCATTTCAACAAGTCTGTTGATCTAGTCTTGAGCTGTGAAAGGCTGTATTTCCATGATATGACGTCACATGTTGTCAGTGCAATAATATATGATTTTCCAGCCCACTCTCTAGATAGCTCATCACACCCTAATGTGCAGAGTCAACCCATTTCTTGGGTGCTGCCTCTGTGCTGTGTCATGTGTGAACGAGGCAGTACTTCAAATAAAATCCTGACCTGAGGTTAAAGGGAATATCAGAAGATTTAAGGCGAGGTGTAAATGGATTTTTCAGGACTAAAAGTTTTTTTTTTTTTTATGCAGCATCAAAAAAGATGACGATACACTGACTTCATGTCATGAATATCAGCATTTATACAATAGGCTGGTATTTAAAGACAGCAGTTCTTTCCTATAAACCCCTCCTGTCATAACAACTCTATCCAGCTACGTCTTGCCCAAAGACTGATGCTAAACTATTGACCGTTAGCTTGTGATATTCTCCTCACCACAGAAATACAGGTATCTAAACCAGGAGTGCATCTTTGGTCCAGCCCGTGTCATAACGACTGAGTGTCACCCACGTCACAGGGTGTCGCTAAATGACAGCTCCCACTGTCTGCAAAGATGAAGCCTGCGGTGGGGGAAAAAACCCCAGGATGGATTGAAATTTCATACTCTCAAGTATATCAAAGTGACTCCTGTCAGCACTGCATCAAAGTGAAGGAACCGGAACTGTTCATTTTTACTGCTGAGCGTTAGACTGTGAAGAGGGTTTTGAGGGAAAACCTACTGAAATGAGCGGCATCATAAATTATGTCTGGTGACTTAGGAGGGAAATTATGACAATGACAAAGCATCAGCTATTTGGACTCACGACAGCCGCGTCAAAATATACTGGGACAGTATTGGGAAGTTGAAGTTGAAAGGAGACTTTTAAGACAAGAGTTTGATCATTTTCAAGGTTCTAATTGTTTTGTTGTTGTTGGAAGCCAGGACATTTATTTTACTAAAAAACAATATTTAGAGGAAAACTTTAAATAATAAAAGATCATTTTTACTGCATCTAATAAATGGAATTCGACAAGAGCCAGACATTTTATTACTGCCTTATATTTTAGGTAAAAAAAAAGTATAAAGTGTGCGTCTGATTTTTTAATATCAATGGACATGTGTGTTCTATAGAGACAAAATTCTAACAGGAAAAAAAAGCACAAGATGTCGGAAAATGTTTACTGCATCACATTAAGTAACAAGGACAGTTACCGTAGGGCAGACAACATATTTCCTTATAAAGTCTGATTTTCTAAATGTGTTTGTGCTTGAACAGCCCTACAGAAATAGAAGTTGTGGAGATACAACTTATGCAGCGTTGACAAATATTAGGGCCTACAGGGTTAAAAAAAAAAAAAAAGAAGAAGGAAAAAAAAAATCACAGGCAACCAAAATCAGTTTTTATCTCAGGGCCAGAGTCTGTACTACACTGTGGGCCACTTGTGATTTCACCACGAGCTAGTGTAATGCAACCAGCCATGCATTAGCATTGGCCCTGCAGTGAGAGCAGCTCTTAGGATCCTGTCACCCAAACTTACCATATAACAAATTCACAAGCGCCCAGACACACACATGCAAATATGAAAAAGCAGCTTGTTTGCTAAAGTGAACAGGCAGAGACGCTCCTCTGTGACCCACAAATCTAAACTGCTGTTGCTCACACGCACACACAAACACACTCACAGAAAATACACGCCGACTCTGCTCAGACCATTGTCACTTCCTCAGCCTCCCCTGGTCAAACACAGAGCCTGTTTTTGTAGCAGGGACAGCCCCTCCACATGACATAAAAGATTGTATCTCCCTGTTAAAGCAGCCGTCCATGTCTCCCTTACCACTTAAAGAGGGGCCTGAGCTAGCACACAAAGTTCAACAACTGTGAAGAAGGAACTATTAAAGAGGACACACAAAGCAGTGACCTTGACTGACAAGTGCTCTTCATTCTGGCCATAAACAGCAGTGGGGCCTGATAAGTGTTCATCGGTGCGGGGAGTAATGACCTATCCGTCAGCAGCGGTTGGGCTGTGTGAGGTAGTATAAATGGAACATACATAATGTACAGCAATAATACCAGCACGCTCACAGCCTAATGTATTATCATTATTCTTGGGGACTAGGGTTTTCCCCCTCCCCTAACCCTGGGTAGTGTGCCACAGCAAGGCCGGTAAATGCCTTCCGGCCGCGATAATTTCACTCTAATCTTTGTTCCATATTATAATTTTCATGGACAGAAATACACCAGGAAGCAACGGCACATTTCTATCAAGGGCTAAACAGAACACAGGCCATAACCACAGGTTTTATGTGACCCATTCTTAGTGCACCAGTCAATTTATGATAAGAATGGAGAAAGCTGTAAATTAATGTGTGATGGCCCATCTCAAACAACATCATTACGTGCCTGCTGCGGGCGGCTCCATCCATGGGAAGCATTCTCACCCTGCTCTAAAGGAGATTGCTGAATATTACAGTCAAATAACTAAACACACACTAAATGTTACCAAAGCATCAAATACAGTTTGGGAGACAAAGGTAATCAAACAGTGTAAGAATGAGTCAGAACTGTGAAAACTGCTGGTGTTTACTGCAATACCTACATACTTACTGTAAAGGAAAGTAAATAAGGAATATACATGTGCAGGCAGCGCATCTGTAGGTGACCTTACTTCAGTCATTTTATACTCTGATAAGGGAAAAAAATTAATATATTTTCATGCTCTGTTTATATTGTCCTGGAGTCACTTTTTCACATTAATAATCTTTTTAAAAGAAAACTGTTTTTCACATTAATAATCTTTTTAAAAGAGAGGAAAGAAAAAGCACCAAAACTGTTTCTTTAGCATCGTAAACACTGTGAAACTAGTGTTGGATGTTTAATCCCAACCTCGTCCATTCAGGCCAATAAAATGTACGATGTTTAAAGGAGCTGTAATATTTGATTTTTTTTATGAGGGTGTGTGTGTGTGCTGCACCAATAAAGGATGTTGATGGGCATGCTAAAAAAAAAATAACACAGTTTATGTCATACGTGTAAAATTATCTCCCAAATCTATTTCCTGTCCTCTCCTGTGCAGGATGAGTGACTGATAAACTATGGTGGTAAAATTGTGGAAGATTTTTGTAGAAATTTTAAACATATAATGTTTAATAAAATGTTCTTCTGTTTCATGACAAATTAAAATCTAAACAGGTTTAAAATATTTTACTGGTAAAAAAGTGAAAATGCTGTTAAATCCAAGGGCTTAAAATTACCAATAATATTTACTTAAGTATTATGTTTTCTCTTGTTGTTTTAATAGTTGAAAAGGTGTTTAACTATTGATAAAACAATGCATGATCATATATTATTGTATTTACTGTATTTTACCATATATATTTTTTTAAGAATATTTAAAATACAATTCTTTCAGGGTGAACAAAAACAGATATATTTTCTGGAAATATTTAATAATCCATATATTTTAACAACTTGCTACAACTACAAACATTTAGATTCTAAT